TATCGTCAAACGCATTACTTTGATTTCGCCAGTCATGCGACGCGTGTCAATTATCAGGAAATAATACCGAGAACAGATAATGTTCGTTTGTTATAGCTATATAGCATTTATCAATCGGCCGTCGAAATGCAGTATTTTGCTAATTCGTTTGATAAGAGGCGAAAAATTATCGCTGACAAAATTTTCGCGTTCATCAAGTTGTATCCATCTTAATGCAAACATTATTTAATTATATACGGACATACAGAAAATATAGACTGTATTTAAATATTAATTACTTTTTTGAAGTATTTCAAAAATTCATATATCCAATCTATCATATATCAAATCTATTATAAGTTCATCACAAGCGTGAAAAATTCATTCAAAATATATTCTGAATTCTAGTGAGTTTAATATTTCTCAATCAAGATTACTAAATTAAAATAAATTCAATTTGCTTATTATACTCGTATGTATAAAACCTGTTTTCATAAAATGTTAAAATATTTTTCTGAAAAGAAAATAAATTCTTTTATTTTAAATACATAATAATAATTTTTCAAAGATTGCTCTGTAAGTACATTTTTTAAGACTTTATCGAGAAAATATTTTTTATTAAAAATCTTATCTTGAAGATTGTTATTAACAAAGAATGTTTTCTTAATAATACTTAAAAGTACTTAAAAGAAAAGTACATTAAAATAAAAATACATTCAGTACTTAATCACTTCTCTTAGCAATAAAATAATATTTTTCTATCTATATACATATATAATACACAATAGAAAAACATTCAAGCGTATGTTTACACAAAACGCAAATGTAAAAATATAAGATGGATCGTTCTTAATGCAAAACAGATATATTAATCGTATAGACTCAGCCAACTAATTATCCGTCATATATTTTCTTTCGCTTACATTGATGTTTCCTCAACGAGAAAGCGATAAAATGTCATTCGCTTATAAACGTAATTTTTAAGAATTTCACATCGCATCAGATCGCGTTTCATTTCCCATATCTTTCTCTCATCGACGCGTGTCCGTGGTAATTAATTATTTTTATTGAGCCGCTCATGCTCCAGGTTGCACCTGCTTTGTCGCTCGCTGAGCTCCAATTTCAAGCTGCAATGAGCGCCTTGCCGGAATCGCCGCCGCTCACGAAGGGGGAGAGAGACGTTATTGATGAAGCATTACTATATAAAGCGCCGCATTATTCGTGCGATAAATCAAATGTAATTTCGGACGCGTCGCAAAATATACGTCGGACGGGTTGTACGCTGTACAATGCCTCCGGAGAGCCTTATAATTAAAACAAGAGCGCGGAGAATTTGTGGCTAGAAGAGGAGATGAATTTCGCAATTATTCAGCTTCCGGTTCGTGCACCAAGAATATTTCAAAATGCATCAGTTAGCGATAGAATGAACTAATCCCGGCACACAAATCGCGAAGTCGAATTTTTATACCTATACCTATAAATAAATACCTAAATATTACTAGATTTTTAATTATTAGATGGAGTTGCTCAAGAATTTATGCGTATTTTTAAGAGGAATTTAAAGATAAATTCAATAATTTATGCATATTATTTAAGAGGAATTTAGAGATAAACAAGATAAAACACATTTATCTAGTTGATTAACATTCCTTATTTAATGATTCTCTCTAATGTATAATACAAAAATTTTCAAAGAGAGTGGCTGTTTCTTTGTCGGTAAATTCTCCGGAGATAGAATATGGTAAATACTCGTGTAATATAAATTTGTTAATTAATACGACGTAAAATATTTAATGTTAAATGTGAACGTGGCGTTACATTTCACAACAGGTATCTTCATTATGTTCAATTAATATATTTAAGTTATATTATCGCGATAGCGCGGCTAATGATTGATCGATATTTGAAAAAGCGTTCTACTTAACTTAATGTAATATTATAGAAATTGGACGAGTGCACTAAAAAAAAAATCTTAATATATATATATATTTTTTGAATAAATAAATAAATGTTTACTTACAATAATTAAATATTTATTCTATTAAAAAGTAATAGTTAAATTAATACTTTTTGCATCAAATAAATATATATTTAATATTTTTATATATTATATTTAATATTAAAAATTAATATTTATATTTAGTAAATATTTATTTAGAACTATTCAAACAAATATTTAATAAAATTTAGTATTTTTTTCAGTATGGGACGGATGGGGATCGTTTTCTTCCCTCTCCTTTCGGTTCTGCCGCTGGGACAGAGGGGAGATTCGCGATCGCTTTATTAAAAGTTTCAGCTGCTACCCAGCGGTCTGTGCAACGGACGATCCACCACCCAGTGAAAGTTCATGAAGTCAGTACTTTGTATCATCAGCGAGCGGAAAACGATGGAGAAATCGCGTTCGACGTCGGAGATGCTCGCGAATCTTGATGCGTCCACATCTTACACGCGATATTATTAATAAACCAAGGTGAAACCTTACAGATAATCACAGATTTATCTTGTCGGGTTTGTAGTCGAGATGTATCAAGATATCTGCAAATAAATTTTTAGTCGTGTTCCGTGATACGTCCGAATCGAAAGCGGTCGAATCGAAGCGTGACATCGTTACGTGAGAGCGCAATTCTCTCTTGCAGAGACGAGAAACAATGACGTGTGCAAAGCAGTTTGTCGCGATATCATGACAAATTGACGTTCGAATGTTCGGGCGGGTCAGTCGAATTGGCAGGCGCGAGGACGAGATTTCTCGATTAGTTTCGACCACGCGGGGATTCCTTCAATGACGAGAATTTCGGCCGTGATGCGGTTGGGTTGGATCGATAAAGAAAAAGAAAGAAAGAGAGAGAGAGAGAGAGAGAGAGAAGAGTCCACCCTTTTTCGATTCCAGCCCTCATCTCCTCCCGTAGTTTGTGTGACGTAAACAACTTGGAGCATCACAAGGCGCCATTGTATTTTGGACCCCCAGGGGATATTCCGATTCACCATATATATCCACCCCAATTCCAAAACGTGGAGCCCAACAGGGGGCTCAGGGGGGAGGCTACGAGACTTTATTGTTGAGCAATTTATCCTCCATTCAGCTCGTCGAGAAAGAGCTTTTCACTGGGTGTGTCCGCGTGATCCTTCCCCCCTTCCTCCCTCCCCCATATTTTATCGAGACATTAATTAGAATCAGCGTATGAAGTTGTTACGTTTACGATATTATCGCGACCCCGTGCGCTCGTTTTACGAGTGTAATTCAAGGATAAAATTATACCGCGCGTCCTTCTATATCGTCGTTACATTCGTCGGAGAACGTCCAGTGAAAATGCAAAGTGTCGCATCGATACGTATCTCGTTATATCTCCGTCGCGCGAATTAATTAGCAACTATTTATACTGGTCTCGGTCTCGGACGGCGTTCCATCGTCATGAGGTGATTCGCTCGTTCATAATCTCCTCGGATCGATCCGGATTAAGCCGTTGTACACAAGCTGGTCGCGATACGTTAAATCTCCCTCCGATTCTCTAAGTCCCGGCCTTTTATTTCCTCCCTCCAGAGAGTGTGTCTCATGTAACAGACCGCAACACAGACGCGTATAATCGTTCGCTTTTAATCGTATTTACAATCGCGATCAAATTGCGAACGTAGTGAATCTAAATACAGCCGCAAATAAAAAGGATAGCCCCATCTGAGGCACAAAACAGGGTTGCCATAAATTCTTCGTGCCTAAAATTCCATAACTCTTCCCTGATTTCCATCAAAATTTCATTATTTTTCCTAACTTTCAATAATATTTCGTAACTTTTTTGTATTTCTGCCTTAATTTGGAATCCATTAAATATTTTGCTGAGAGTGCAATTTAACATAGCAATGTAAATTACTATTAATGTTGCCAACACTGTATTTAATTATTAAATTAATAATATTTCAAAATTGTGTAGGTGTGATGTACGCATATATCCCAACTTTTTTAAAACCAAGAATTCTTATTTTCCAGAAAATTCTTTAACATTTTCCTGATTACCCTAATCTAATATTCTGCAATTTCCCTGACATCTAGTTTTGCGGCAACTCTGGGACGTTTTTCATCCAACTCTCTTTACCAAAGAAATTAAATACTCTTGGATGTTTCTCTTTCAAAAATTTTATTCTCGGCACTGGAAACTTCTGATGTATCGAGTCTTTATTCTAGCTCGCGATGTCCTTATACCTAAGTTATTCGATTTCAGAAAACTCCGGATCTCGCCCTTCGAGAAACGGGAAAGTGATATGTGCGAAACGGACAACTAACAGCCACTTAAAAAGCGAAGCATTACATCGATTGAAAAATATACGCCGGAAACTTTCCGAACAGGCCGACAAATGCCACCTACTTCCGTTCCTTCCTAACCGTGGGGCGCCTCGACCTACCCTTTTCCGTACATTGTAAGGATCCCCGATCCATCTGAACTAACCCAGACCTAACCCAGTAACTCCACTCGCGGTCATTGTAACCCTGAGGCAGTCCAACCCTCCCTCCTCCCCCTTCTCTCTCTCTCTCTCTCTCTCAACATCGCGTCTCTCCGGGTTTCCTCTTCACAATCCCCCCCTTTCCCCTCACCCCCTCGTCCCATACTTACCCCCGCACGTACAAAACATGCGGCGGTGGCAACGGGGTGGTTGTCGGGGGGGGGGAAGGGGGGAGAAGGGGGTTATGCGCAGGGGGTTTTCGTGCGCGATGCCACAGCCAACCCGACGGGGTAGTGTCTAGGGGGCTGCGTTCTCTCCCTCTCTCAGTTGGCCGCGATTCATCGCCGGGTATGTACGTCCCGGTCGTCGTGCTGGCCGGGTGGCACGCCAGCAGCAGGTCGAGGAAGCGCGAGAGGGTGGACTTTGGGTCGCGCTTCCGTCGCAGCCCTCGTTCTCCACCTCCTTTTCCACCGTCTCCACCTTCGGTTCCTCTACCTTCCGCTTTCTCGCGTTGTGTTCCGAGAGAGGGTTAAAGTATCGCTTCGAACGATACACGATTCGAACGGGGGACCTTTTTTCCACGTAGGAGCGAAAACAGCGCTGCTCTCGCGACCGCGATAGGTACAACGTTGGTGCCAGACCGATGCGACGCGAGTGCGGCGAGCTGGTGATACTGACGCACACCGAACAACACAATACACGCACGCTGAACAACAACGGAAGAGGTGTGTGCAATAATGAAGAAAGTAGACGCGGGTATCTCCGTAACTGCATGGATGCTGCGGTATAACATCTCGAAATCGTTATATGAAATTGCCTCGAGGCTTGCGACGCCGAAGGTCGAGATCGTGCGATTCACCGATCGATTGATTTCACGATCGATAAAATTGATCGGGCTTTCTTCGATCTCGTGATGTGAATTTTTCGCTTCGAAGTGCTTTCGGGATTATCCCGTTCCCTTTGGTGTTCCGGAATCGCTCCGGAGTCGTTGGGAAATTGTGCAGGTAGCTGGCGGATAAATCGGGCGGAGAGGAGAAAATCAAACATCTCCGGAAGCGACAGTGTCACATGATCGATCGTCGACGTACGCATAATAATTGCCGAAGCTAATGCGACGGAAGTTGCACTTGGTCGCTCTCCATTGGTCGATTTGCCTAGATTCTGGCCGTCGCTCGATAAAGCGACGATCAGAAAGAATTTACTCGTGCTCGATTAAAGAGGAGTGTTTCGGATCCGATAATCTCTGTAGAAACGCGAGACTACTTCTCGGCGCGACAATTAACGCTTCGAGGGAATTTCTTGAATCGCGCGACCCATGAATTAATGGAGCATTTACATTCCCGGGGAAAATGCGAGAAGTAAATGAAATTGCGGAATCAATTGCACGCGAAATTTCGAACCGAGGAAAATCAGGATTAAATGACCAGCAGCTGATTGATTAACCATTAGGTGAACGCTTAATCGATTCTGTTCTCTTCCTCTCTCGTAAAAACAAAAACGATCGAGAAATAAGAAGCGTCGTAAAAGCTACGAAAGTGAAGAGTTATAGAACGAATCTTTCCTGTTTGCGCAAAAACACTTAATTAACAAAGTTAAAGATACAGATGAAAGATAAATGAAAATGTTCGTTCGTTGAATTATTTTTTTTTTACTAGCCTTGATATATTAAGATAAGCATTTTGGAATAATTACGAGTGTAAGAACTGCCAATACGATCAACGTGTGTCTGTGTTTGGGGCTAATACGGTAATCAGATCTCGTCGAGCACGGTGTGCCTCAGAGAGAAAAATTTCCTTTTACCGAGGCAAGCTTCTTAAAGACAGGATTTAAATTCATCCATCTGTACATCCGGCTTTCAAAAGTTGAATCTTCGAGTTTCCCTCTCTCGTATAGCCTCAAATCTCAAAATTAATAAACGCTCTCTATCCACACATCCTAATATTAAAATATTTTTTTAAATATTTGTGGACTTTCAATAATATTTATCTTTCGCGGTGTCGGAGACCTTTTTCGCGTACATAACACTGAAAAAAAAAATGCACTAAATTTTTAATAAATATTTATTTATTCAGCACTAACTAGACTAACTTTACACTAAATAAATATTTACTAAATAAAAAAAATTATAGTTAAATCAAATTTATAGTTTCAAATAAATATACCTTTGTATTTAATAAATATTTAGTCAATTCAAATATTTAGTCGCAAGTATTTACTGAAATTTCGAACATTTTTTCAGTGCAGTGGAATTGGGAAAATAGTTCATTGCGTCGCGCGCAAACGACCAAGTGCATTCGCGTCGCTGCGGATGGCTTTAACGATTATACTCGTTACGCGGCCAAAACCGGCGGATACGGCGTGATCTCGACCTCGCGAGGCTAACAACTCGCGCCTCTCGATTCCACAGAGCGTTCGGGAGGAGAATACTCGATCCGGCCGATAATGGATGGAGGTGAACGCGCGAGTACATTTCGCGGAACGAGTATCAACGACGAACGACGAGCAAGACGGCTTTGCATAATCCGCCGCGCGCCGATCTGCCTCGTCGAGGAGGAAGCGGTGGACGGGATGATTCCACACGGCGCGACGAGGATCGCATTTTTATTACGACGGTCGATCGCGCGATCGGTTGGTCCTCGGTGAAGAGAAGAGCGAGAACGAGAGAAGAAGATCCCGCAGAGGAGATCTGGTCGCGTGGCACGGAACGAACGGATGAACTCTCGTCGTCGATTCCGCGAGACTGAAAAATCGTGGTGGACTGGTTGCCGCTACAGGGAGGGAGGCAGGGAGAGGAGATCTTTCCTTTCTTTTTTCTTTTCTGCCTTCGCTCCCTTTTAACGGCGTCGCGCGCGCAATGCGCGACTACCAGCGGGGAAGGAAGTGCATCTCGTCGAAACCGGAGCAAGGTGATTAATCACCCGCCGCTGCGGATGCATTGACCAGTCGATGCAGCTGCACCCGCGTGCCGCGACTCGCCCACGCAATCTTCTCTCAGTCTCGTCGTCTCGCGGCCGATCGGGGAATGCATGAGAATCGCACGGCGTAGGTAGGTGAGACGCTTTATTCGTTGCGAGTAAAGCAAGAGAGATTAGAAAACCGGCACGGAATCGCCAGATCGCGGGGCTTAGTCGTCGATCGGTCATGGATCTCACATTGATCTCGAGGAAACGCCGTGACTAAACGGTATTGGGATGATTAATGGTTTTTTGCGAGAGATGCACGCGACGATATCGATGTTACACTGTATCGGAGTTTAAGACGCGGGTTTAAGGCTATGCCAGCGAAATCGTTTACGTTTGAGGCGCAGACTGCGATTTCTCTTTTACACATGTGTATATTATAAAAAAAATTATTAAAAAAAAAAAAAAATAGGTAAACATCTCACTGTGTTAAATATTACAAGAGCGATTGTAACTCAACTCCCTTGAAGACGTTTCAATTAATCTTTTTGTTGTTTTTAACCTGCATGTATATTAAAATGTGATTAAAATGGAATCAATCCATTTCTGTTAGTTCCCAAGTAAATAACTTTATTGACATATACATTTGGTAAACTAAATTTCAGTCAGATTTAATACATTCTTTTTAGTTAAACCATTTAAATTTATTGTTTTAGTTAAATTAACGACATATCGAGTGAGATCGGTAAACTTATAGAAACGATTAAAAATCACTCAAATTGTGTATAACTTAATATATCAACGATTTAACAATGATTATTTATCCGAAATTAAAATCTGACACGTAAAAAGGAAGACTTGTGAGAAATTGGAACGGCGAGATAAATTGTATCAATAAATATAAACTAACGGGAAACGCTCTCGGCGCTGATTAAAGAGGCATAGCCAAGAGACAAAATGAGAAATTAGTTTTCTAATTGGCTGGAAAGTCGATAGATATCGATGCGAATTATTTTCGATGAAGGGACACGGAGCGCGGTTTGGGTGTCCGGGACGGGATCGCGGGGCTTCATGTCGCTTTAAAAAGAAGAGCATGTCGGTGCAGTGTTGCACATCGGTCCATCGGTAACAGCTGCATCATGGACGCGCGCGGCGTCGCGTCGCGTCGCGTCGCATTGTCTCGCGTCAGCAAAAATTCACTGGCACGAGGGGCTTACTTATTGTACACCGGCGCGACCTTTTCCCCGCCGTTTTATATCCCGGTCGCGTAAGCTCCGGCGATGTGCGAGGTTTATCATACGATTTAATAGCGTTCTGGAAGGTTATTGGTCCGTACAAACTTGGAACGTTACGAGGGATTTAGAGAAGAACTCCCACTCTTGCTCTCTCTCTCTCTCTCTCTCTTTCTCTCTCTCTCTCTCTACCTCTACCCTGTAGATCCTTTCATTTTACGTTCGGCGATCGATCGAAGAATTTAATCTGCAGAGAAAGAGCAGACCGGCCGCTTTCTCTCTCTCTCTCTCTCTCTCTCTCTCTCGTTTCGTTATCAATAGCGACCGCTGATTTTCCGCTCCACGGCCGGAGGCGATAACATTAAGTTACGCGCTCGCGATGATCGTTAAGTTATTACAGTATTTATCATTTCCACTGACACGCCATAAATATTTTAATGCGATATGCATTATAATCTCAACGTGGATAAAAAGAAAAGCTTTAAGTCTACTTTAAATTGGACCTCTTTAGATTAGGATCATTTTAAAGCTTTAAATTCCGTTATTTAACTTGAGCAGAATAAAATTCATAAAAATAAATATTAAATTAAAAATGACACGTATGATAGTGAACTAGAAACGAAAAGTCGATTATACAATGACTGTGATGAAGAATTGGTAAAATTTCCGCGAGGATTGCACGTCCATTGCTGATGTCGATTAAAGCAAATGCCAGATATCGACCTTTACAGAATGGAATATCAAATTCCACGTCGCGCGGGGCTCCGATGCACTGACCTTCGCAACATTTGTGCCCACGACGATTTTTGCACGGTGCACTTTTTCATAAGGCGTCCTCGGCACTTAGGAAATGAAAATCTTGAATTCTCGATGCCCCCTAAATTCTAGCATGAGGTTTCTGCGCGCGTACGTGCGTGCGTGCTTGCATGTTAATTTAAATTAATCGTCGCTGCAGCGACAACTGATTTAATGCGTGGCTCAATCCGGCCTCTGACACGTTCACGAGGGATGAGTTACGGTAATTCGCGTGCAAGACAGAATCCATTTACAATGGAGACATTTACAGAGTAGATACACACGCGCGATTCCGCGTGGGTGTTTAATGCACATCGGGGCCTTTGTGTTCCTACACTCTATCTGCATTATCGTCGCGTGTTGCGCGATTTTTCGCGAGAACATGATTTCTCTGTTCCGCGTAAAATCACGGCGATCACGCTCGCGATAACCGTGCGGTAAAATCGGTAAGATTAATGTTCGCAACACGTGGTAAGAACATACCGTATCGCACAGTCCGTTCGCTTATCAGTCATAATTAATCCAAAATCGATAATAATATTGTAATATTCTCAGATAAATGCAGTGCACAATGGACAGAGTTCTTTTCCATTTCTACAATGATGAGCAAATTTTTTAAAATTTGATTTCACTATGCGATGAAATGAGTAAAATTTATTTAATACAGCAAATGTACAATAGCTGACAAAAATTTTCGCTGAACGTATAAAATTTTACAAATAATTTTTGTCAATTTGTTTCTCAATTTATATCCTAAATTATTAAAAATTTTTTATACTCAACTTAGAAACGTAACAC